ATGAAGTATTGGCAAAGGCAGTCAGTCTTCCTTTTCTCCCAAGTCCCTAGATCTACTTTTTGAACCTGGATAATAATATCCTTGGCTTGAACAGATTATCTTCTGGGCTTGATCATATACATTATCTCTTACCTTTAATGTAATGCGGAGAGGGCCCGATTGAAAACTGTTTTCAATAGGCTTTATGTAAGAGTAGGCAAAGGTGGGTAAGATTATAGTCCACAAGGACTGAAACCACTTTCCTTTTGTCCCACTGAGTGCATATCTTCCCTCTTGTCCTGCTTACTGCCTTATCTTTTATCAGGTTCCTCTGCCAAATAAACAAGTATAGGCATCGGCTGGAAGGAAACAAGGTGCAAAGAGCTGGCCAGTGACCCCTTCCTGTCCATCACCTACAAACTGGAGCCTTGCAAACTGACTTGCTGCCAGCCTGGCAAGAAGAGGTGCTGGGTCTCTGGGGAGCCCAGGGCCTTGGCCTGACTGTGAGACCTCGGGCTGCAGTAGTGGCCCGAACCTCATGATTGTCGTGGGTCTGACTGAAAGATGTTCTTCATCCCATTGGTGATATGTTTTAGCAAAGATGGGAACATATGAAGGACAGAGAACTTGTTGATGTTAAAGGAGACTTGCAGTTGAGTAAGAATCCAGAATGTCTACCACAGGCTCTAAATACTGGGAGGATTTCAATTCATGTCTGACCTTTCCTTCTCAAGCTCCTCTGCCACCACATCCAGATCACAGGGCTGAGGTACATTGTCATTCAGCCAACAGGGGTCAGCCTAATCCCACACCCAACTGCCTTAATCCCAACTGCCTTTCTGCCTCCATAGAGCCTCCGCTATGCAAAGCTCTGGACACCCTCACTAAGAGCCACCTCCATCAATGCTTATAGACCTAGACTACACTGTGTGTAATCTGGCTGCCCTCAGGATTGAGATTCTAGCTCCATCAATTTTTTTACTTCTAAATCTAGCTATACTATATTCTTCTCAAGAGCAAAAGGGAATGATACATTTTGGAAAAATAGTTGGGAGAATCCAATTCTGTTTCAATCATCCTCTTCCCATGTCTAATTTTATGTGCTTATTTGAATGGCCCATGAAGGGAAATATAGGGCCCCACATCATTAATACATTTTCATGTCCACAGTCTGAAGCAACCCCCCATTAATTAAAAAAGTACCCTCAAATTGGTGTCACTGAAGACTTAAATTAGAGAATAAGATTTACTACAGTTGGTAGCTTTTGGACAAAACTGTTTGCCTTTTCTTTCAGTTTAATGTATTTATATCTCTTCATTTTCTGAACAGGTGACCCACCTATATCCTTAACTCTGAGGTAGCACTGAAGATTTCTTTCTTTCTTCTTTTTGAGTTAGCTTGCTGACCTGCCTTAAAACGTGACAGGCTGCAGGCTGACCTGACCAATTCCACAGCACAAACATGACTTAACTCATCTTGTCTGGAGAAAGAGAATGCAAAATTAGTATTAAGAGAAGATATAAGCAATGGAATAGTTGGTTAAACATTATAGCTTGTAATAAATGAAAATATTGAGTGCACTTTAAATGATTAATGTATGAAAACTGTCATCACTTACTGTGCATTAATAAAAGAATGCACACTTCCAATAGTGGTTAAGGTTGCAGGCCCATCGCTCGGCTTGGGCAGCGTGCATAGTAATGCTTAGTATGACAATGAGTTGGGGTAGCTGAAAATTTAGGATGGTTGCAAGTTTGTGTAGTATTTGGATTAGCATCTTAATCTGTGCCTTGTCAGCCTCATCAGTACACAAGCTATACATTTTTTTCAAAACTAGCAAAAATATGAATGCATTAAACATTTTTTTTCTTTTAATTGAGAATAATGACCAAGGTACCTGCTTAAACAAATACTACCAGTAGTCATTAGTTAGGATGGTTACATGTAAAAGAAATGATGCCAGATAGTAACAAATCCAAGAGAAATTTATTATGAAAATGGCACCTGCGGATGAAAAAATTAAGTTACATAAAGACAACCATGTATGTGACATGTATGAGAATCTACAAAAGTATAAAAAGAACCCTGTTGTAAATGAAGTATGTACATTTCTGATTTGCAGCATTATCAATGGTCAATGAAAAAAAATGTTTCAAAATAAGCCAGGCACTCAGGAAGTTAGGTCCGGTTAGCTTCACACAAAACAAATGTATCATAGCTGTCACTTTGTAATGTTTTAATTTATATATATGTGTGTGTGTGGTAGAGTTGGTAACACTGCTAAGATTTTTACAAACAGAATATCCCTTTCCCCATTATTCAGCTACTTGGCACCAGTCTCCTCATAAAAGTTTTCATATATTTGTACAATAGTTAAAAACACAAACAGACACAGTCTTCACAGGTAATGAAGTTTTTTTTTTGTTTTTTTTTTTCGTTTTGTAATTTTAACACTATGGATTTAGACAGCAGCTGTGATTATCTGTTAGTTTAAATCACCAGAAATCATTTTGACACAACACAGAAACATTTATAAAAGAAAAACAAACAGCTATTTAGCTGTTCTTTGTAGCTGATAGGTGCATTCCTTTGATTGTTCGATAGCTAGAATAGAGCTTCCAAAATTAATGTTTAAATTTCATGATTAGCTTTCTTCACATTCCAAACCTATTAAATCCTTGAATTAAGCTCATTATTAAATGATGACTTATTCCACAGTGGTTTGGGCCCAACTCATGGAATTAAAGATCCTAGAGGAATTCACTCAACACAGTGATATTCAAAGGACAGCTGAGTTACTATAGTAGCATTGCACGCATAAACATATATATATATATGACAATTCTATATTCCATTATACCTTCCCCTCCTGTTTTTAAAAAATGTTGGTTGACCTTTGAACTAATTTTCTGTCTCACTGGTAATTGCTTTATTATATTGCTCCATCAGCCAACCTGGAAGGAAACCAAAGAAAAGCACCCACTGCTTATAGGTAGAGCACAAGGGACTCTAGGAATGTTAACAACTGAGGCTATATGGCATCAATTTATTGAATATATCTGAGCATTACTCTTCACTCTGGAAGAAAGAGTCATACCAGAATTCCATGTGGGAAAAATGGCTCCATTAACCTTGAGCTAGTTAAGAGTCTTTTTATCTCTGAGAATGAAGAAGGTTTTGGAGAACGGGGAAGGAAAGATGAGGAAGGGAAAGGGAAGAGGATAGGGGGAGGGAAAGAAGGGAGAGGTTGGGAGAATACACACCAGAATAAGCAACAGCAGGAATTTTATAAAGTGAAACGGAAGGTTCACAGACAGTAGAAGCAGCATAGGGGTGACATTACAGAGGAAGGCCACCACACAAAAATCACTAACCCCCAAGAATCACTGATTCACTAGGACTGCAGGAATGGGACGGGACTACCCCGGACTAGAGATAGAGCACAGAGAAGACAAAGGACAAAACAACTACATTAGCTTAGTATATACTGCATATAGAAACACACATTGAAACCGCAATGGACGACAGCCAAGGACATGTACACATTGCACACATTACAGTTCTCACATCTGTTATTAGATGCCTTAACAAACAGCTGCCAAAATGGAGTGGAAGAAGAATTTATACTTGACAGTCATTTGGAGTGTTTGACACTACACTGATTTCTGGCAACAAAGACAAAATAGGATATTTTTTTCTTTTTCTTTTTCTTTTTTTTTTTTTTTGTACTTAATGTGCAGTTTTCAGTTGAGTTATCTGTTTGAAGTTTATTAACCCATTCTTTATTTTTAAGCTGTATTGGTTCCAACCTAGAAATAAGAGAATCAAAGGGAAAAGAAATTCCATCAAATCAAATCAGTCCCCCCAAAATACAAGCTTTTTTTTTTTTTTTTTAGCAAGAAATGAAAAAAAGAATTAAAAGATGTTAAATATTTCTCCTCTTTTACTCTGAAGTGTTATTGACATTGCAAAAATTAGCCTCAGTTAGACTGAGGAAGGGGGGGGGTGCTTAACGAAAGGCAGTATGTACCTAACCTGCTCCTCAATCGGTTTGATTGAGTTTCCCAAAAGCCCCTTCAAAAAAGGGCTTTACGGACCCATTACATTGAATGTGAGGCTACGCTTGTTAGTTGGGAGGTAACACATTTAAGTTCCGCAGCAAACGTTAATGAGGGCTTTGTCTTAACTAACCAAGGAGACTGTAGCAATGGACTCCAGACCAGGACAGGACACATGTTTTTTTCCCCCCCCAAAACCCAGCCAGGAGCTGCATTTTGTATGAAGACATTACAGATTAATAAATGATAGCACCATGGTTTTAGAAATTAAGTTAATGTTTCAGTAATTAACATTTAGTCCCACTGTTGTTGGTTTGTTTTAAACATTCTAGTCACAGGCCAGAAATTAAGTTTTAAGAACCCAAATTACTTTTATGTGCAAGTAAGAAAAATCTTAAAATCTTAACCATAAAAAGAGAATTAAATTCTGCATAAAATTCTAAAATACTATCCCCCTATTTTTTTTTTTTAAAGGAATTAGGAACAAAAACCAAAAAAGAGCCACCCCATTTCATTTGACTTAGTCAAACAGGGCACATTGTTTATGCTTGTCTCTTGCAATCTTGATCACATCAAGATCGTTAGGAAGAAAAATGGTTGTCACTTGAGAAATCTCTTGACCACAAGACTGAGTATTCTATGGCAGAGGCATATACGCATTAAAGACATCTTAATAAAGATGCAAAAGGAAAGCAAAACAACCCAACACACATCTTAGAAGAAGAAGAAGACAAAACGGCAGGCCACTGGTCCTCTGGCCCCAGAAGGCCAAACATAAACAATATCTTTACAGGAAAGCATAAGTCAAGTTAAAGAAAGGGGGTGAGGGGATGGGATGGGGACCGTCGTGTGGTGGAGAGAAGATGCTGACCTGCCCAAATTCAAAGTGCTAGAATAAAGGTGGAAACGGAAAAAACGCCCACGATGCCTCCCCTGGGACCGCCCTGCGGGGTGCGGGCGCCTCAGTCGTCCTTGCGCTCCAGCGCCTGTGCGGCGGCGATGCCGTTGCTGTAGACCGGGAAGGGCAGCGTGGAGAAGAGCCCCTCGGCCGTGGTGAACACGTTGCCCGCGGGCATCTGCGTCAGGCTGGCCGCCGCACTCACCGCGCCGCCGAACGGTCCCGACATGTTGAGCCGGTGCACGTGGTGGTAGAGCATCTCCATGGGCGTCTTGGGGTCGAGGCCGAAGCCCGGGCTGTTGACGTCCACGAAGTTGACGGCGTGCGCGTTGGGCAGCAGGTTGCCCTGCATGGCCAGGGTCACCTCGGCGGGCGCGTAGCGGATGGTGCCCGTGGTGTAGACCCGCTGCGCCGCCGCCGTGCCGGTGGCCGCCAGCGTCCCGGTCACCCTGTGCACCAGCGGCAGCACCACGTTGCCCGCCTGCAGCCTCTGCAGCGCCTCCAGGTCCCCGGGGTACAGCAAGGAGTTGGGCGCGCCGGGGCCACCCCCGGTGCCGCCGCCGCTGCCGCCTCCACCGCCGCCGCCACCCCCCGGGTGCTTGTCCCGCGGGGATGCTGACAGCGGGGGCGACAGGGGGTCGGAGGTGACGGGGGCCAGGGCCGAGGTGGCCGAGGCGCCGAACTGAGTCTTGCGCGGGGCCGCGCTGTCTGCACCGCCGGGCGGGGTGAGGACCGAGTCGGGGATGGCCACGTGCAGGCCCCCACTGCCCCCGCTGCCACCCCCGCCCCCACCCCCGCCGCCCTGACCCTGCGGGGACGGGAAATGCTCGGAGTTGGAGTTGGGGGGCTTGGTCATGCTGTAGGGGGACTCGTTCCTGGAGATCTCCCTGTTGGGCGGGTAGTTCCAGATGCTGCTGTCGTTGTCGAAGTTGATGGGCTCGGCGATCTCCGTCTTGATCTTGAGCACCGAGGAGGCGGCGCTGTTGGGGGAGGCCAGCAGCCGCGGGGGCTCCACCAGGCCCCCCTCCAGGCCCGGGCTGGACGCGCTGGACAGGCGCCGGCGACTGGCGCTGCCGCCCTTCTGCCGCTTCCGCCGCTTCCTGCGCCGCTGGAGCCTGCCCGCCGCCTGCGCGCCCGCCTCGCCCGCGCTGTCCGAGTCCTTGGCGCTGGCGCTGTCCGACGTGAGCGGCTCGCAGTCCTGCAGCCGCGGGTCCGGCTCGCTCTCCACGTAGCGCTCCACCTTGATCTGCATGGGCCCCAGCGCGCGGAAGCCTTCCTCCCCGGCCTTGGGGTTCTCGAAGTCCGAGTGCTCGAAGCTGTCGTCGTCGCTGTCGCGGCTGTCGGGGTTGCTGGAGCTGTGTCCTTGGTCGTGGCAGTTCATGTCCTGGTCGCACGTGCTGCCCGACTTCTTCCGGTCGGGCTCCGGGTCCTCGCTGTTCTCGGACTGGTTCCCCTTCTCGTCGGACTTGGAGTTCTCGTTGTCCTCTGTGTGGGGCCCGTGGTGGCCCGGCGTGGCGGGAGGGGAAGAGGAGGCAAAGGAGACACCAGGTTAGCAAGGGCGAGGCTCATCCCTCACTTGCTGTGTGTGTGTGTGTGTGTGTGTGTGTGTGTGTGTGTGTATAGCAGGGGAGCTGTGTTTCGGCCCTACGCTTCTCCACACCGCCTTGATGCCCTGCTTTCTCTCTCGAGGGCCCAGGTTAGCTGGACCTTTCCGCAAAGTGTGGTCCCTGGCCCAGCAGCACTGGCAGGACTGGACACTTGCTGCAAAGGCAGCGTCCCAGGCCCCCACCCGTCAGATTTTGTATTTGAAAAAGATCCCGTGGAGATGCACAGGTGCATTAACGACTGAGAGGGCCTGCAGAACTACCCGAGGGAGTCAGAGTACATATCTTAGAATAGGGTGTGAGCGGCACAGAAAAACAGTGCTGTGCGAGGTGGTTTTCTAAAGAGGTCTGGCATCTTCCACGGGTGACTACCTGTTCGTGGAAAACCATGTTCTTTTCATCAAGTTACTTTTCTCTGCACTACTCACCACCATCTGATTCACCGTATGTTTTAGTCACTTTTATTAACTTCTATCTCTCCCAACTGGCATATACGCTCCGCGGGGCAAGGAATGTTTGCCTTTTTGACCCACTGTGTAAATGAGGAGCAGAGTCTGTCTATTCTAGAACTTCTGCCCCAGGACAGAACTTTCTGATGAATGCAGTTTAGGAGCCAGGAAAACAATCAGATCCTCTGGGAGTGACTCTCACTGCCTGGGCTTCCCCGAGGCTGTGTCTGGAATAGAGGGATATTGTTTACAAACAGGAGAGCAGGTGCCCTAAGGCTGGGGAGTGTTCAGGAACCCTCACTGTCCAATACTTTTTAGGGAGAATAGATTTTCCCAGGACCACAACCTCAGAAGAGTTAGGGATGATGCTGGTTTTATGGCTCTGCTGTGATGCTTTTGGGTGGCAGCCTGGACTAGAACCTTGATCAAAGCATGGAACTACCCAGGCCTTCCTTTCCGTGGCCTGGATTAGAAGAGGCTCAGGGCTTTGGGCAGCTCTGAAATCCTGTGAGTTCCGTGCTCCATGGCTCTCTATGTCTGTGCAAGGGCCTAGGGCTTGGGGGAATGGTACATTTTTTAATATTAATTTTACTGTGCTCCAAAGAGCTCAGAAAGCCTACTTCTCAAAACCAGAAATGGGAAAGTATGGGTTTGCTCTGCAGAGATGCAGGGAATGAGTAACAGCCCGGCACCTGAGTCATTGCCAAGGGCATTAAGCATCCCACTTTAGAGGCTTCCTTCCACCTGGTGAGGATGTGGATCTTTGGGTACATAGTCAGAGTCTGTCTTTGAGCACCAGAGACATCTCTGCTATCTGCTTCTGGTAAAGAGGCCAGCCCTCACTATGGGGTTATGGCAGGACCCCTTCTGTATGGCCAGTGGAGGGCTGACATGAAGTGTATTAATATTTGTGTGCATATATTTATGCAGTACAGTATATCTATATGTATGTAAATACATCACAATAACATACATATAAGTATATATTTATACACATAATGTATATATTTATACACTATCACATAGAAATGTTAAGTATTGTGTGTATACACATATGTGTGTATAATGTATGTGGTGGTAGAAGTACAGTGTTTGCATACACATCTGTGTAGAAAGAGAGGCTCGGCAAATGTCGTGATATAAAATCGGCCAGTGGCTGTGCTCTGCCGATGGCCCTCTGCCGTGACCCACCCCGCACGCCCGGAAAGGCACGCCATAACTGCAGAACACGGAGAAGGAGTAATACCTGCAATACCTGAGGTGTCTTTAGAGTCTGACTCAGAGTCCGACGTCTCCGAGGACTCCGAAGTCTTCTCGGGCAGGTGGGGGAGCTGTGCGATGTCCATCGGGGTGTCCTTGTACTCGGGATTACTGCGGGGAGGGAGGATTCGTCAGGAGTGCACACACCCACTCTGCGCAGTTTGCTCTCCACCATCCTCTTCCCATTTCCTTGCCCCAAACTTTTGGAGTTTAGAGCGTGTAAACGACTAAGCATGAAATAATTTCTCTGTTCATCATGGCAATTTTACTGAAGCTTGGATGCCTGTGCGGGACACAGGTGCACCCTGCTACGATGATTGAATACCCAAATACTACATGAAAGCCACTAAAAAGCTTTTACATAATCAGGTACCACTGGGGGCCAGGAACTGTGCTGCTTGACATTCCTCACAGTATAACACCTGGGGGAGGGGGCAGAGAGGAGGAGAAGTATTCTCAGCGATTCCCTCCCATAACCCTTGGGGTGCCCTGCCTTCTCCTGGGCTCCTCATGAGCCCATGCCTCAGTACCTTTGTCTTGGCTCCTTGATGGAGGTCTCAGGTATTCAGATGGCTCCAAAGCTGTGTGTGTGTGGGGTGAGGGGCAGAGCCCTGAGTGCCTAAGATCTGACAGATACACAGGTGCACCCTTGGATGCGTGGATTATGGCTACTGAACTGTCAACACACCCATTACAATCACATTTTCATCGGTGCATGTGGTGTACACCTGTAGCTTGTTAGCTGGAAATTTGATTGCGGTGGGGAGGGTCCCAGTGTGAAAGAGACCCTAAGCAGAATGGAGCTAACCCCACTTGCACAAACACGTTGAATTTTTGTTCGATTTTAAATTCAGAAATAAGCCTTTTCTGGAAAAGTGAGACTATTCAGTCGATTTGAGCTAGCTGTCTTCTAAAAATGCCACTCCAAGGCTGGCCCAAGGCGCGAGCAGCGCAGGCTACTATACCCAGACGCCACAAGGAAAGTCTCTTGCCTCAGAAAGGAAGATGCCTCTGCCAACCCTCCATAATGGTTAGCCAGCCAGAGGCTTGCAAAAGAGCAGTGGTTCTCAACCTTTCTAATGCCGCGACCCTTTAATACAGGTCCTCATGTTGTGGTGACCCCCAACCATAAAGTTATTTTCGTTGCTACTTCATAACTGTAATTTTGATACTGTTATGAATCGTAATATAAATATCTGTGTTTTCCAATGGTCTTTGGCTCTACAGCAGCGGTTCTCAACCTGCGGGTCACCTAAGACCATTGGAAAACACAGATATTTACATTACGATTCATAACAGTATCAAAATTACAGTTATGAAGTAGCAACCAAAATAATTTTATGGTTGGGGGTCACCACAACATGAGGAGCTGTATTAAAGGGTCGTGGCATTAGAAAGGTTGAGAACCACTGCAATTAGCAAATCATTTGCTAATTTCTAGTGAAATTCCTATATTAAAGAGTTACTGGTTCAGTAATTAAAATTGCACGTCTCTGGGAGGGTTAATTCACTAAGATGGGTTATCAGACGGATACTCCTTAGTGTGAATTAGCTTCAGCGCGGTGCTTTCTTTAGGTAATCAGATGAGACTAATGGTGGGAAGGTAGCCTTAGCACTAATGCAGTTTCGGAATATTCCGAGTCTGTAATTCTACCAAGCATTGTGAGGGAATGGGAGGAAGACTGGGGAGTAATCATTTAAGAACAGAGAAAACAAGCCTAGATGGAGCCCAGGAGAGATTCTGAGGAGGAAGAAGGAGCATGGCAACATTGCTCAGGGAGGAACAAAGGACAAGAAGGTGGGAAAGAAAAACAAATTTGAATAGTTGCTGTTCGCCAAGGCCAGTCCTTTTCTTACTAGATTTCTAGCCTATAGCACTGATACCAAGGACTTGGCACTTGGTAGAGTTTTTTCTGCTAAAGCCCATCTATATTAGTTTCCTTTGGTCCAGACGGCATGGAGGTTCACAAGTTATTTGACACTTATGGCCTCTAGTTATTGAACTCAAGGCGAGTCTTTAGCGTGTCTAGCATGGCTGGGATTGAGGCTCTTGAGCCTGAAGACTTGTCTTTGGTGCCCAATCTGGTTCCTTCCTCTCCCTATGTTATTAGATGGACTAGAATCACCAAACACTCATGAGCTTGTCCATGTGGTCCTCAGCTATACTAACAGTGTTCACCCAGAGCTGCATGGACTGACCTCTCCTTAACCCTTCTCATACCCTCTGTCTGGAGGCAGAGCAGGGCGTCATGAGGCTGATGGTGGGTAAGGAAGATCCAAATAGGAAGAGATCTCCCTGAATGGGAGCAACAACCATATAGATTGCTTTAGTACCATAGGTTACATCACTGTGGGAAACAGACATCTTATCTATGGTGTCCCTGTTACCTGTGTCTAGTTCTTAATAATAATGGGTCTCCTTGGCACAACTCCATTTTTTTTTTTTTTCCCAGCAAAATACTGTCAATGCCATAGTATCTTATTCTATTTCCTCATTGGCATTGAGTTTTTATAACCTGCTTGACATATTGCCACTGTTCCATAACCTTTATATAAAGGGATTTCTTGATGCCATAAATACATGATTGCATGAAATTCAGGCCTTGGAGGAATCCACATTAAATACACATACCTTTGGAGAGAATTGATGTAGAGTGGAAGAGGTAAAAAAAAAAAGGGGGAAAAAAAAGTAGATAAATGAAGACTCTTTTAAGTGGTGCACATTAAAGCCCTCTCTAGAGCAATAATCATTAGTGTCTGATTGATATGCTATTGGTAGCAAGCACATTCATGCCTTCAAGTCATCACCAACGTGTGTGAACACACTCTGAAGGGCCAGTGTGCTGATGAGCCATGGTTGTCAGTGTCTCAGCTCCATTTGGCTGTCTCAAAGAAAAATGGGATTCAAGGACTCCCTGTCTAGATTATCAGCCAAAGGGCAACAACTTCCATTCATAAGACCTATCCAATGTTTTCCTGCTCAGCCCACGTGTGGGCTCTGCTCAGTGGCTGCAGGCCAAGGGAAGCCAGAGATGGAGGTGACAGCGGTGGGAGGGAGCCAGCTGAACGGTCAGATAGCTCCATGACAGGATTGGTGGAGAACCTCCCACAGAGCTTGCCCCCAAACGCAGACCACCCAGGCTTTGATCTTGCATAGTTTTTTGCTAGTTTAAGTCCAAAGGCAGAAAGGAGGAAGGACTGAGAAATGGTGCTGCATCCTAGAATTTAGAAAGCTTTTGAGCATGGCCACATTCATGGATGTCAATTTGAGGGCACATTAATAAAGGTAAAACTTGCCTGAGGTCACAGACTAGGCAAAAGAAGGCTGACTTCATTTTTATACTGATACTAGAGGCCCAGTGCATGAAATTTGTGCACTTGGGGGGTGGTTTGCTATGCCTGGCCTGCACCCTCTCACAGTCCGACTGACAGCGTAGGCCTACTCCCCCTGGGGAGGCTAAGCTGGTAGTCGGACATCCTCTTGCACCGAGCATCTGCCCCCTGGTGGTCAGTGCATGTCAGTGACCGGTCGTTCTGCTGTCTGGTTGATTTGCATATCACCCTTTTATTATATAGGATTATCTTAATTCTAGCAAAGCAAGTGACTTTGCTTATCAAAACTTCAATCCTATGCAATACGTGGGGGGGGGGGGATTCAAAGGCATGGGGAACTATAATGTACCTTGCTTAATTTCATCCTCTCTTGCTTAATTTTCACAAGGATTGGAGTGTGTGAGTGCCTGTAAGTACATGTGGAGAAGGGGGTGCTTTTGAAGGCATCAGCTTTAGGCAAACGTCTATATTCTTTTTACGGCCTGAGCATTTGTGGGAAAACCAAAGCAGCTTCTGCAGAGCTTTCCAAATGCTGACCAAGAACTATTGACAGTGTTGTGAATCTGCCCCAGAAGTCCCTTCCAACACAGCTTTGATCTTTTCACATTTCTCTGACTCTCATGGAAAGAAAAGCAGCATTTCCACATAATTGCACACCTAATACAGTCAAGAGATAACACAACATGCCAGAGACTAGCCATTGGGATGCCTATTTTGTGACTGAAACAGAAGCAAACAAGAATTGGAAAATATACCTAAGAAGATAATTCACCCAGATGATGTTCTTCTCATTCGCATTCTTGGCGTTGATAGCGATGGTGGCACTAGACTGTATCCAGATATAGCCTCCGTTCTTCTGCATCCATCGGTAGTACTTCGTCACACACTGGCCCTTATTCAGCACTGGAGGGGGAAAAACAAAGCAGAAGGCCCTGCGTGTTAAGACTGAGACGAGGTGACTGTCATGTCTGCAAAACCTCCAGCTTAGGAAGAAGGGAGGACTGCCCTGAGTCAGGGTGGCTCCCTGTGTGCTTAATGCAGAATGCCATTAGCAGAACAAATAAAATCAACAATCCAGTGGAGCAGCGTCTCCCCAGGGAGGGTTACTCGCGTGTGTAGCAAGACTTTGTTCCATTTTGGGCAGCCATGGAGTGAAAGGAAGAATAAAAGGACTACAAATCTTTTTGGCTCACAGAATCCCTAATGCAGTGTGGATATTGTCAATGGGTTCGCCATCGGATGGCAACAAAGGCGAATGTGTACAGATTTATTCATAGCTTCGAGGTAGGCCTCTTTGAGATTCTGGCTACTCAAGGCGCTCGGGAGATACTTTCCCCCCTCCTTTGACGGCCCACCTCGGTGCGAGCGGGCAGTGTCAACCAGCGTCCTTGTGCCTCTGTTCCTTTTGATCTCGTGCAACGGAATTTACAGCCCATGTAGGAACTAAATTTACATTGGTCAGTCGGGGGAAATTCTGGTGAGACTTGACAAATGTTGGAGCAAAATAAATTTCCCAACCGAGTCAGAGAGAAACGCTGGCCTAAGGGAGGCACGGAATTGACTTGGCTGGAGCCAAACAGAGTGACAGCTCCACACAGACGCTGAAATATGGCCCGAACTGAAGGAACAAGTAAAAACAATCAGTAATGTGAAACGGTGCCATTAAATACCCACGGAAAGAGAGCTTTAAAATGCAGATGTTAAAAAATGATACTTTAACCAAAATCTTGCCAAGTCGAAATTGATTTGACTTGTATCTGGGTATTCCTGAGCTAGTAAAAGGAGGGGAAATGCAGTAAATCATCCCTGAAATAAAGTGCGAGGGGTGGGAATGGTTTAAAAAGATGCTGGAAACGTGCAAATCCTCGGCTATTGCTTGGATACGCATGGCAGCCGCTCCACACCCCCCAGCAGCCTGCCAGCTGGCTGGCCACTAGAGGGCAGTGTGCACTCGTCCACATCACCCGCGTTTGGCATGTCCTTGTCTCTGTCTGCTAAAATGAAAAAGCTCTAACTGCTGTAATAAATTTGGCTAAATTAGCTGCTAAATGGTTATCTCAAGTAATATGTATTTGCATTAATCATCTTGCTCTAAACCAGAACAAGCCAGAGTCCTAAAGACATAGTAAATTCATATTGTCCATTTAATTACGGCTAATAAGTGCTTCATATACAATAGTTCCATGAAGTACATTTTTTTTTTTGGGGGGGGGGTGGTTTAGATGGGTAAAGGGAAGTCACTTTGGAAAAGAGCTGTGGTTAAGTGTTTAAGGATGGTGAAGCACTTTGCTGACATGTCTGAGCCACTCTTCCCGGCCCCGAAAGTGATAAAAAAACACAACACAACCAAATCTCCACCTATTATACTCATAAACATATAAACGTCAATGCCTTTCTCCCATTCCTCCCTTTTCTCACAACACACTAAATGGATGGTTGTAAAGTTGAAATAATTATATATCTTAACAGTTTGCTTGGGAAAGCCTGGCTTTGATGAGGGCTTCAGGTAGTAGCAAGTTCTATTCCATAACTATTCCACAGCGTAGGGTGCTTTTAAGTCCGGGACTGTCACCTGCTGGTGGCCAGGCTCCACAGGGAGCATTGTACTGGCCTTTTGTGTGTGGATATATGTTCTGCCATTCTGTGTGCCTTGCTTCCCAGGCTACAAGACCGTGTGGTGAAGCTGAGAGCAGTAAAATACTAACTATGTCACACAGCTCTCTGTAAACTATTGTTGCATGCATGAGCTGTGCTTTATTCAGATCCTGTCAATCTGGTTAACTGTTCATAGAGGAATGATGGGTTATGAAATTCTGCCCACTATTTTCACAGAGAAAGTTGATAGCCCCCAATCAGGGATTGGTGTATAATTCTGTCACCTGTGTAACTGGAACAAGAAATTATTATTATTTTTAAAAATATATTTTATTGATTTTTCACAGAGAGGGAAGGAGAGAGATAGAGAGTTAGAAACATCTGTCAACTGCCTCCTGCACACCCCTCACTGGAGATGTGCTCACAACCAAGGTATATACCCTTGACCGGAATCGAACCTGGGACCTTTCTGTCAGTAGGCTGACGCTCTATCCACTGAGCCAAACCGGTTTAGGCAGGAACAAGGAATTATTTTGAATGGTTCTAGTTATTTAACAAAGGCGGAGAGTCTAAGAAGCACATAAAGAAAACACTGAGGTGGTAGACCACTTAGGTGGCTGAGATTTTGGATTTTTGACCCAAAGCAGACAAATTTAAAATTATATGCATATCCCCAGAATACTTTGCATAGAAAGGGTCAAAGTGAAAAAGGAATTATAGTCAAATTAGAATGTACAGAATCAACATAAAGATCAGTCCCTCTTTTTAATACTTTCTCTTACTTAGAGACAAAGAAATAAAAAATCTCAAATTTGAAATACAAAGCCCACAAACTGTCTCCCTCCCCGGGGGGATCCCGGCTGTGCTCTGGAAAGGTGGCGTCACAGTTGTGAGGTAAGGCAGTACGACTCTTGGTGTGCTTACGTCCATCTGTGCCTCCTGAGGAGATACATACACATTTAGTAGGGCCTATGTGTACATTAATACAGCCTTCTTCCTCACCCAGGCCAAAGCCACCTAGCAAAGGCGCGAGACCTACCGAAAGAGAGTCAGCCAGGTAAGTTTTGACTTGAGGAAGAGGTGGTGAAAGGACTGACAAGGGGTTCCCGGGTGTCAGGAGCTAGTTGAGTCCTTTCACGGACCCTGGTGAATGGGAGCCCACCCTTGCTCAGCTGAGGAAAAGTTTGACTTAATCCATTACTCTACCCCTCCTCCCCGACACCAGTCTGACAAACAGAATTCTTAAAAGGCCACCATTTTACCATGGTCTCAGATCACGACTATTTCCTGAGGATTAGCATTTTCTGAATGAGACTCCCCACATATTGGTGGGGATCTACATAACTAGGATAAGGCCCCGAGTTAGTGCCCATGGTGGCATCCACTGATGGCCAGAGTATTGCCTAGTTGCTTTTGTTTTTCAAGAGGCCCCATAAAAGAGGTTATAGTGGAATTTTGCTTCGTTTAAAATAGACAAGGAAAATATTTTTCTTGGGGCTCCAGGATATTGGCAGATCAGCTGGATCATTTCAGCTGGGGCCAGAGGCAGGGTCTGCAGGCCTTTCCTGAGCTCAGGTGTCTTAAAGCAGCTCAAGGAGAAGAGTCACCTTGGTGCCAGTTTGTATTACACATTTTAATTTAGGTAATTTGAAAAACATAAAACTTTTTTCCATTCTCTTTAATCCAGTAGCTGTTGTTTTATTTTTGAGTTTTAGCTTGTGATAGAAATGAGAGAATGTGTGTTTCAGTGGATCTCATAATTTTTTTTTTTTTTTGGTGATGAAAAACAGAAATAAGCATGATGTAAGTCATTTGTTGTTAAAGTCCTTAAAATATGGTTAATTGTCCCTTGAAAAGAGTCTGGGAGTAATTTCATAGCAATGTGCTCAAACTATAGAGAGAGAGGAAAGGCATGTGCGGGCCTGTTTTTAAGCTGACGTCATGATGAGGTAGGACCCCTACCCTAGCACCTTCTCTGTGGTCTATGTCAAAGTCTACCTTTTGCTTTCCACACCGTTTGGTAGCGCAGCCTGTGTGTCTCTCACTGAATTCGTTAATCACATCATCACATCGTCACATCTGTAGAATTACGTCTTTAAAGTTGTGCTGAAGGAATTTTTTCTTAAAGGATCCCTAAACATGTAAATGGTCTTTTCTTAGCTTTTACAGGGCAAAGATGAAGGTAGAGGGAAGACAAGGACCTCTTTCCCAGGTTCACTTACAATCTCAAAGGGTCCCCAGGTATGACTGTGAACGTCTCTGCTACTACGCAAGAGCCTGCTCTTTTTTCTCCCTTTAAGATATATTTTATTGATTTTTTACAGAGAGGAAGGGAGAGGGATAGAGAGTTAGAAACATCAATCAGCTGCTTCCTGCACACCTCATCCTGGGGATGTGCCCACAACCAAAGTACATGCCCTTGACTGGAATCCAACCTGGGACCCTTGAGTCCATAGGCGGATGCTCTATCCACTGAGCCAAACCGGTTAGGGCAAGAGCCTGTTCTTTTTTGTTTTTACTCTGAAGTCTAGGCTGTAAGCACTGCTTTGGCTGTCATCACTCTGAGGAAAGCCATGAACCTGGCATCAGTGCCACCCCACCTTCAAGCTAACGGTGCCTGAGTTACAAACCGTGTTCTTCAGAGGAGAGAGGGGACCCCACTGTGAGAACAACACGCCACTGACCACAAGCCATAGCCCCTCCTGGCCGCACTGTGCCAGGCTGCTCATTCACTGGCTGGGCTGGCGGCATCAGAACCCATCCACCCCCACATGTGAAGGGGGTGGCCAATATGGTTCAATCAAAAGAGAACTGCAGATGTGCTGCCGTCCCCCCAAACCTGAGGGCCTCTCTGGCTGAAGCACACGGCCATGGCCATGGCTCTGCCGTTACCAACAGAGGCGGTTCAGTTGTTTTTTTTTGGGGGGGGAAACTCGGTCCACAAAGATAGACTGAAGACTGAAAGGACATAAAGGAAGCCTGTGTTCATGGCAGGAACATCATTCTGTCCATAAATCAAAACAAATGGGTCCAAGTTTGCCTTCAGAAATATGGAGAATAAAAGAGAACATGGCCTCTTCCTGTTGGGCTGTCCTACCAAATCAAAGCCAAAGACTCTAAATAGTGAGTTACTTGTGTCTCACAAAGAAGGAAACAGTCTAATTCGGTGTGAAGAGGAGACTGCGGAGAGAACGCATCAAAAGCGGCCTTTTAGCAAAGTGTCTCACAAAAGGACGTTTTATGGCTTGCATATGCATTAAAAAGCGGCAATACTTGGCGTATTCAGGTAAGTATAGAATAAATAGGAA